GACCCTCCAGTGCACAGGCTGACACTCTACCACTCAGCCACACTGGCCAGGGCTGTCATTTTTTATTTAAGCCATTCTGATAGATGTGTTGTGGTATTTCATTGTGGTTTTAATTTGCATTTCCCTAGTGGCTAATGATGTTGAATATCTTTTGCCCATTTTTTAATTCAACTGTTTGGGTTTCTTACTTACTGTAGAGTTTTGAGAGTCCTTTGCATATTTTATTTTTTTATTTTTATTTTTTAAATATATTTTATTGATTTTTCACAGAGAGGAAGGGAGAGAGATAGAGAGCCAGAAACATCGATGAGAGAGAAACATCGATCAGCTGCCTCCTGCACATCCCCCACTGGGGATATGCCCGCAACCCAGGTACATGCCCTTCACCGGAATCGAACCTGGGACCCCTCAGTCCGCAGGCCGACGCTCTATCCACTGAGCCAAACCGGTTTCGGCGAGAGTCCTTTACATATTTTAGACATTAGTCATTTGTCATACATGTCGCTTCCTAATTTATTTTCAGTGCAATTAAACATTACAGATACAGTTGAAGCACCCTAACTTTACCCCCAAACTATTCTTTTTTTAAAAAAATATATTTTATTGATTTCTTTATAGAGAGGGAGAGGGATAGAGAGTCAGAAACATCGATGAGAGAGAAACATAGATCAGCTGCCTCCTGCACACCTCCTACTGGGGATGTGCATGCAACCAAGGTACATGCCCTTGACCAGAATCGAACCTGGGACCTTTCAGTCCGCAGGCCAACGCTCCCTCCACTGAGCCAAACCGGTTAGGGCCCCCCAAACTATTCTTTATTCTCCCTCCTCCCTCTCTCCCCAGAATTCATTATGATGAATTTATTATTATTCTCATGAGCTTATTTTTTTAATCCTCACCCAAGGATAGTTTTCCATTGATTTTTAGAGAGAGTAGAAGAAAGAGGGAAAGACAGAGAGAAATATCGATGTAAGAGAAACATATTGATTGGTTACTTCCTGCAAGAGCCCTAACCAGGGCCCGGGCCGGGGAGGAGCCTGCAAGTATGTGCCCTTGACCGGAATTGAACCCGGGACCCTTTGGTCCGCAGGCCAATGCTCTATCCAATGAGCCAAACCAGATAGGGCTCTAATGAATATTTTATAAGTTTATTTCATATGTATGTATCCATAAGTAATAAAATATAGTAGTTTGTATACATTTATAAATTTTATTTTTTAAAGTAGTGCTTGGCCTGGCCGGTGTCACTCAATGGTCAAGTGTGGACCTATGAACCAGGATGTCACAGTTCAATTCCCGGTCAGGGCACATGCCTGGGTTGTGGGCTCGATCCCCAGTAGGGGGCGTGCAGGAAGCAGCCAATCAATGATTCTCACTGATGTTTCTCTCTCTCCTTCTCCCTTCCTCTCTGAAATCAATAAAAAAATTTTTTTTAAAAAAGCAAAATTAGCTGAAGCCGGTTTGGCTCAGTGGATAGAGCGTCGGCCTGGGGACTGGAGGGTCCCAGGTTCAATTCCGGTCAAGGGCATGTGCCTAGGTTGCGGGCGCATCCCCAGTGGGAGTTGTGCAGGAGGCAGCTGATCGATGTTTCTAGCTCTCTATCTCTCTCCCTTCCTCTCTGTAAAAAATCAATAAAATATATTTTTAAAAAAAAAAGCAAAATTAAACAACATATACTAGAACTGCTTTTAAAAAATATATTATTATTTTATTGATTTCTGAGAGGAAGGGAATGGGAGAAAGTTCATCAATGATAAGAGCGAATCATTGACTGGCAGCCTCCTGCACGCCCACACTGGAGATCCAGCTCTGCAACCTGGGCATGTGCTCTGACCAGGAATTGAACAGTGACCTCCTGCTTCATAGGTCGACACTCAACCACTGAGCCATGCTAGCTGGGTTCATTTTGCTTTTCAATGTTAAGTTTTTTAGTATTTAAAATTTACCTAAATAAATGAGGCCCTAGTAAAATCCTCACCTGAGGACATGCTTAGAGAGAGAGAGAAAAACATGGATGTGAGAAACATCAATCAATTGCCTTCAATGTGCACCCTGACTAGGGATCAAACCCGCAATCCAGGTATGTACTTTCACCAGGAGTCAAACAGGCCCACCTTTTGGTGCACGGGACGACACTCCAACCAACCGAGCCACTCTGGCCAGGCTAGCTGATTTGTTTTAACGGCTGTGTAGGATTCCACAACAAAAACATACAATTTAATAATCCATTCTCCAGTTCAACACTTTTTAGGCATCAATTTGTAGATGTTAAAAGCAATGCTGCGATTTCTACTTCTGGCCAAGATGGTGTGACACAGGCTGGATTTACCCTCCCACCTGAAACAATAAAACCAGACAAAATACATGAAACAAGGGTCTCAGGACACTGGACACCAAGCACAAAGGACAGCAATCCCAGAGGGATAAGAGACAATGGGATGAGCTCCACAACTGCCCTCATTTATTGCTTTAGAAGAGTTTCTAGGACATGGTGTGGGGGAAATGAGAGGGAGTCAGGCAGACTCCTGAGCTGAAGGGATGGGTGAGGGTACAGTGAGACAAAGGCAGCTAGGTTTCAAAAAGGATAGAGTACCATAGAAGTGAGAATGCAGAAAGGTGGATATAATTTAAAAAGACAGATAATAAGTGCTAAAGGCGCATGTAGGGAAATTGGAATCTTCATACACTGCTGATGAGAATGGAAAAGAGCCTGGAAGTTCCTTATGAAATTAAACACAGTTACAACACAATCCAGCAATTTCACTGCTAGATATATACCCCAGAGAACTGAAAACATTATCTCCACACAAAAATTTGTACATGAATGTTCATAGCAACATTATTCATTATAGTCAAAAAGTGGAAACAACCCAAATGTCCACCAACTGATTACTAAACAAACAAACGTACATCTATAAAATGGAATTTAGTGCCCTGGCCAGGTAGCTCAGTTGGTTAGAGTGTTGTCCCAATACACCAACGTTGTGGGTTTGATGGTCAGGGCACATGTAGGAGTCAACCAATAAATGCATGAATGCGGGGAACAACAAATTGATGTCTCTCTCTCTCCCTCTACCTTCTTCTCTCTCAGAAAATCAATAATAATAAAAAGGAATGAAGTACTGATATATGTTACAACATAGATGAAAGTTAAAAACATTAAGCTAAGTGAAGCAAGCCAGTCATAAAAGGTAATATATTGTATGATTCCATTTATATGAAAAGTCCAGAAAAGGCTTGAAGGAGAATGGAAACAGAACATAGATAACTGGTTTCCTAGGGCTGAGGAGAGAGGAAAATAAGGAGTAACTGCTAATAGGTGGTGGGGGGGGGGGGGGGTGTCTTTTTAGGGTGATGAAAATGTTCTAATTTTAGATTATAGTGATAGTTGCACAACTCTGGATATATTAAAACCACTGAATTGTATACTTTGAATGGGTAAATTTAGGATATGTGTAATATGTTTCAATAAAGATGTTAAAGCCCTGACCGGAGTGGCTTAGTTGGCTGAGAAATATTTCATTTAATTCTCAGAACATTCCTATGAAATCCACATCATCCCCATCCTATCAGAAAGAAGTAACTGAGACTCAGAAAGACTAAATAAACCTGCTCAACATCACAAAATAAATACAAGAGTCATGATTAAAACCTAGGTCTAACTCCAATGCCCAGTACACCCCCCTTTCCACCACACCAAGGATGGTTAAGTAGGTTTCAACTCTCATGCCAACTTCATTTTATTGATGGTGGTTACCTATAACATTCTGTTTCATCAGTAAAGACTTTTACTTAATTATTGTCTGCCACAGGTACCACATATGAAAACAGCAGCACACATATAAGCCAAGTATTTATCATATCCATCTATAATAATAAAAGTGTAACATGCTAATTAGACCGGATGTCCTTCCGGAAGCCAGATGCTGCAGCCGAAGCAGCTGCCATGGCTGGCCACAAGGGAGGGATCCAGGCAGCTGCCACGGCTGGAAAGGCCTACTCTTGCACAAATTTCATGCATCGGGCCTCTAGTATATTATCATAATCAGACTAATAAATCTGAATTTATTGGCCTGTGAGGGTAACCATATTTTTGTACTTTGAGGAAACAAGAGCTGGGAAGTGGACATGGCAGGGAAACAGCAAGAATCTACAAACCTTAGGAAAGTCTCACAAAAGTCTTTGGCATCATGAAAATTTCTTCTAAATATCCCTCAAGAATGTTCATGGCTTTAGCCAGTTTTGCTCAGTAGATAGAGCATCAACCTGTGGACTGAAGAGTCCTGGGTTCGATTCCAGTCAAGGGCACCTACCTTGTTTGCAGACTCAATCCCTGGCCCTGGACGGGACGGGTACAGGAGGCAACCAATAGATGTGTCTCTTACATGGATGTTTCTATCTGTTTCTCCCCTTCCTTTCCACCCTCTTAAAAAAAAAAAAAATGTTCATAACTCTGTATAGCACTAAATCAGTCATATCAGAGAAGGGAGAATGTTATAAATAGCAGCCTTGCTAGATATTTATTCCATAGTAGGCCTAATGAAGTTTCTCTAATGCCAATTCATGTACGTGACAATCAATCATACAAATAAATTCTATCTCAGCAGTGCTTCAGAGATGAGTAGGCTCATGACCTCTACTTATAAATGTGTACAGCTGAATGAATGTCCATTTGTCTCCCACCAAAGTGGAAGCAAGTTGCACTTCCAGGTCTTGGCAAAGATCACAGAGCAATGGTCCTGTTCTGCACATCAGATAGCTGAGCGAATGAGATATCTGAGCTCCTTCCAAACTACCTAATGCTTCCTGCAGCCAATCATTTCCAACAATTAACTCTGCAACCTCTCTATTTCAGTTCCCTAAAGAAACTCTCATACACACAAACCAAACTGCAAAACAAATTCTTCAAGTGGGGGTAAAAGCCCCTAAGGGAAAACAAAATGGTTATAGAACAGGTTTTATCTTAAATGCTAAAAGAATGAAATTATCTCCAAATGTACCATTTTACTGGATCATCTTAGAGGTTGCTTCTACACAGTCCTACAGGTAGCAATCTCTGGATTCAGCAACTGGTGGAATAGAAAAGGGTATGGATAAGGGCTTGAGAAGAATATGCATCAATGTGAATACCTAAGCTCTATTAATCACTTCTCATTAAGAGATTTAGATAACATGGAACAAAAAGAAACCACTCTGATCTCTGCATAAGATAGAAACATGCGGGACATATCAGATCCTAAAGTAAATGCTTATTACACTAGAGACCCGGTGCACAGATTCGTGCATCGGTGGCATCCCTTGGCCTGGCCTACGCCCTCTCACATTCTAGGACCCCTCAGGGGATGTCAGACTGCCAGTTTCAGCCCGATCCCCACGAGGGACTCCGCTAGTGCACAAACCTGTGCACCGGGCCTCTAGTATGCATATAAGATCTTTGGTTAATCTCTTCCCGCCCTCCCCACCCCTTCCCTCTGAGATCCATCAGTCTGTTCCATGTTTCCATGCCTGTGTGTTCAGCGTCTGGCCCTTGGTGGTGAGTGCGCGTCATAGCTACCGGACGAACAGTCTCTTAGGCTTTTATATATATATAGATTATCGCTGGCAAGATTATGAACCAGAGGTTAGAAATAAATCTGGCAGCCCTGGCTGGTGCGGATCAGCTGGTTGAGTGTCATCCAATACAACAAAAGGTCACCGGTTTGCCCTAACCGGTTTGGCTCAGTGGATACAGCGTCGGCCTGTGGATTGAAAGGTCCCATGTTCAATTCCAGTCAAGGGCATGTACCTTGGTTGTGGGCACATCCCCAATAGGGGGTGTGCAGGAGGCAGCTGATAGATGTTTCTCTCTCATCGATGTTTCTAACTCTCTATTCCTCTCCCTTCCTCTCTGTAAAAAAATCAATAAAATATATTTTTTTTAAAAAAAAGGTCGCCAGTTTGATTTCCAATCAGGGCACATGCCTGGGTTGCCGGCTCAGGAGGCAGCTGATCATTAATGTTTCTCTCTCCCTCTCCCTTCCTCTCTGTCTAAAATCAATAAAAACATATTTTTAAAAACAAAAAAAAGGCCCAGCTGGTGTTGTTCAGTGGTGGAGTGTCGACCTATGAACCAGGAGGTCACAGTTCGATTCTTGGTTAGGGCACATGCCCGGATTGCAGGCTTGATCCTGAGTAGGTGTGTGCAGGAAGCAGAAGATCAATAATTCTTTCCCATCATTAATGTTTCTATCTCTCTCTACCTCTCCCTTCCTCTCTGAAATCAATACAAATATTTAAAAACAAAGACAATATACTAATGACCAATAAATACATGAAAAATACTCAATGTCATTAGTCATCAGAGAACTGCAAATCAAAACCACAATGGCCTGGCCAGAGTGGCTCAGTGGTTGAGCATCAACCTATGAACCCTCTCTCCCTTCCTCTAGAAATCAATAAAAATATATATTAAAAAAACAACACACACAATAAGATAGCAATTCACACCCACTAGGATGGCTATTATCAAAAAGAAAATGGCAAGACTGTGGAAAGAGTAGAACCCTAGTATATTGCTAGTGGGAGTGTAAAATGGTACAGTTGCTTTGGAAAATGGTTTGGTGGTTCCTTAAAAAGTTCGAATCAAAAACAGAGAATTATCATATGACCCAGGAATTCCATTCATAGATAAATACCCAAAAGAATTGAAAACAGGTATTCAAACAAAAACTTGTACAAAAATGTTCCTGGTAGCATTATTCACAATAGCCAAAAAGGTAGAAACCCAAATGTCCATCAACTGATGAATGGATAAGCAAAATGTGATATACAGTAAGTCCTCACTTAACAACATCAGTAAGTTCTTGGAAACTGCAACTTTAAAAAAATGTTTTTTATTGATTTTAGAGAGAGAGAGGAAGGGAGAGAGAGAAACTTCGATTCGTTGTTCCATTTATTTATGCATTCATTGGTTGGTTCTTGTAATGTGCCCTGACCAGGAATCAAACCCACAACCTTGGCATACTGGAATGGCACTCCAACCAACTGATCTACTCAGCCAGAGCAGGAAACTGCAATTTTATAATGAAACCAATTTTGCCATAGGCTAATTGATAAACTTAAGTTTCTACAGCATACCTTTGGTCACAAAACATTACCAAACTTCTAAATTAAGACCTAATATTAACACTGAGATAAATAAGCTATCCATATTTTTTAAAGATTAATAAAAATGAGTAAGATAATTATTTTCCAACCTGCTTATTCCAGTTCGGGATTGAGAGTGGCCAGAGCTTATTCCTGCAGCTCAGGGCACAAGAGGGAGCCAACCACCCTGGACAGAATGCCCTTCCATTGTAGCAAGTATTCACACCCATACTCAGACCGAGATAATTTAGATACACCAATTAACCTAACATGCACTTATTTGGGGTGTGGAAGGAAACCAGAATGCCCAGAGAAAATGCATGCAGACACAGGGAGAACATGCAAACTCCACACAGTGGCCATGGCCAGAAATCTTTTTTTTCCTTCTTTTTCTTGTCAATGTAATAATGACACAACGTTATTTGAGGACTGCTGTATTCCTACAGTAGAATATTACTCAGGCAAAAAAAGGAGTAAAGTACTGATACATGCTCCAACGGGGATGAATCTCAAAAACATTATGCTAAGTGAAAGTAGCCAGATACAAAAGGTCACACTTCTATAATTATATTTATACTAGAGGCCCGGTGCACAAAAATTTGTGCACTCAGGGGGGAAGGGGGGCCCCTCAGCCAGGCCTGTGCCCTCTCGCAGTCTGGGACCCCTCAGGGGATGACCACCTGCTGGCTTAGGCCTGCTCCCCGGGGGATTGGGCCTAAGATGGCAATCAGACATCCCTCTGGCAGCCCAGCAGCCCTTGGGGGATGCCCACTTGCCAGCAGGGAGCAAACCTAAGCTGCAGTCGGACATCCTTAGCGCTGCTGAGGAGGCAGGAGAGGCTCCCACCACCACCACTGTACTGGCAGCCATCAGCCTGGCTTGTGGCTGAACAGAGCTCCTCCCATGTGTGAGCACCCTGACCACCAGGGGGCAGTCCTGCATTGAGCGTCTGCCCCCTGGTGGTCAGTGTGTGTCATAGTGACCAGTCATTCCCAGTCCTTCTGCTGTTAGGGTCAGTTTGCATATTACCCTTTTACTATATAGGATAGAGGCCTGGTGCACAGGTGGGAGCCAGCTGGTTTTCCCTGAAGGGTGTCCCGGATCAGGGTGGGGGTCCTGCTTGGGTGCCTGGCCAGCCTGGATGAGGGGATGATGGCTGTTTGCAGCTGGTCACACCCCCTTCAGGGTGGGCGTCCCCACTGGCGTGCCTGGCCAGTCTGGGTGAGGGGCTGAGGGCCATTTTCAGGCTGGCGGGTGACTGAAGCTCCCAACCTCTCCTTTTTTTCTTTTTGTTTTTATTCTGGGATTTATTTACCTTCTATGGCTGTCACTGGAGCTGAGAGCCGGCTTTAGCTCTGAGGCTCAGCTCCAGCTCTGAGACCTCGGCTGCTGAAAGCAGGTATCTGGGTTTGTTTGGGTTCTATAATTGTAACACTGTTGCGGTTCTGCTCACTCCAGCTCTGACGGCTGAAAGCAGGTTTCTGGGGTTTTTTATTTACCTTCTATAATTGCAACATTGTTTCTTAGACTGAAGCTCAGAGGCTGGCAGTAGCAGGCGGGGAACCTTGGCGTCCTCCATCACTGGAGCAAGCAAGCCTCCTGTTCACTTCAGCTGCCTGGCTGCCGGCCACCATCTTGGTTGGCAGTTAATTTGCATATCTCGCTGATTAGCCAATGGGAAGGGTAGTGAAGTTATGGTTAATTACCATGTTTCTCTATTATTAGATAGGAGGACTAGAGGCCCGGTGCACAAATATGTGCACAGGTGGGATCCCTCTGAGTGGCCTGCAGGGATCGGGCCAAAACCACAGTCCAACCTCCTACCTGCCGCTCCTGCTCATCCTGGCCCCACTGTGCCTGCTGTGGGCTTGTGCCCAACCAGTCCCAATCGGGAGAGGATCACAGCAGCACTCACCAGCCATAAGCCCTGCCTCTGGCACCCTCCCAAGGGGAATGGCCTGCGGGATCAGGCTGAAACCAGTTCTCTGACATCCCCCAAGGGGTCCCAGATTGCGAAAGGGTGCAGGCCAGGCTGAGGGAGCCCACCAGTGCACAATCAAGGCTGGGGAGGGACCAGGGGAGGGCTCCAGGTCGTGTCGGGTCCATCTCGCTCAGTCCTGACTGGCCTGACCCCACTAGCAAGCTAACCTACCGGTCGGAGCACCTGCTCCCTGGTGGTCAGTGTACGTCATAGTGAGCTGTTGAGCAGCCTTAGCATATCATTAGCATATTACGCTTTGATTGGTTGTTCAGTTCTGCAGTATGGTCTATTTGCATATTGCCCTCTTATTATACAGGATAAACTATCCAGGATAGATAAATCCATCAAGACCAAAAACAGCTTAGTTAGTAGTTGCCAAGTGCTGGGAAATGGAGAAATGGGGAATGACTGCTTAATGTGTACAAGTTCCCTTTTGGGGTGATGAAAATATTTTGGAATTTGATTTAGATGATGGTTGCACAACACTGTGAAACATACTAAATGCCACTGGATTGCACAACTTAAAATGTTTAATTATATGTTATACGAATTTTACCTCATTTAAAAAAAACACCCAACACAGTAGTTTCTAAATGTTTGTTGCAATGTGAAACCTGATACCTTATAATTATTATAATTATTAAAATACATTGGCCTATCTTACACTTTGAATGGATCTTTTACCTAAAAATTATTTTGTTACATCTCAAGCATTGGTCATCTGAAAAATTCTGGTCCACTAAGTCATGTAGATTTCAATGTTGACATATTTCATTATACAATAGTTTTAAAAGTCACACTTGTGCAAGATGGCGGTGTAGGTAAATGCTGGTACTTGCGGCCTTCCACAACCACATCAAAATTACAACTAAAATACAGAACCGCCATCATTCAGAACCACATGAAATCTGGCTGAATGGAAGTCCTGCAAATACAAAAGTAAAGAAGAAAGCACATTTAGAC